GTGGATAAGTGTGAGGATCGCTCCATTTTGCTGGGTCAGTGGGTCGCTGAAGATATCTAAGTTCAAATGGGAGACATATGCAATCAAGAGGTCAACAAACGACATGCTCTCCGCTCCTTCATCGCCACTCCCGACAGCAGTAATGTGAGCTGTCACGATCGAATTGGCAAGAATATCAGAAATAAGCCACAACGAGTTGTCGTCAAAGGCCCAACGGCGGGTTTCAAAGGCTTGGGCCAAAATAGAAGCTGCACTTTCACTCAAGCTGGGTACCTTCAATATCTCAATGACGGTTTGGCCACATTGCACCGCCAAGGTATTGACATCTTCAGCTAAAGAGCGCTGACGATTCCCATGAACACCTAGCCATGTCTGGGAGTCGAGTTAGCGATTGCACTCTTCGATATGGAAGTACCAGAACCAATATTAACTCACCTTCCATGAGTTCATGGCTTCAGCCGCTAGTGCGATATCAACTGCATCATTTCCAGCTGCATTTGCATGCTGTATGGTCTTCGTAAGGACAAATTGAACCAGGAGCAACCCATCCTTAATGTTGTGTATGGCTCGCTGGGTAGCAGAGGCGTCTCCAGTCCCATCTTGGGGGTCAGAGTCCAGTCGGAGAGCCTCCTCAGCAAGCGCAATAGAGAAAAATAGGAGTGCACCCGATCCACTCTTGCTCAACGCTGGCAGTATCCGCTCCTGAAAATCCACCGCTTGTGATTGTTCTTCGGATACATATCCGCCGTGGGCGAGGCTTGCAGCCAGCTGCCAGACAGCTTGTTTCCATGGTGTGGCAGGGTGTCTGAAAATGGCGACCAAGCTTGAGGCAAGCTTTCTCACAACCATGGCTTGTTCACCGTTATTTACCAAAGTAACAAAGCGATTGATCAGGTGCTGCATGATCTCTGCGGCCGAATCTTGGTTGATTTCATTCCTAATGGTATCCGAGGTCAGCAATTATGCGTCATATAAGAATGCGGTCGAGGTAGTAGATCAGAGAGATTGGCCGTACCATGAGACATTGATCTTCACTGTGAATGTAAGAGCCCCCATGAAACGATGCTGGGCAGAGTGTTCGCTTTGCAGAAGGGAATCCGCAATTGCCCATGCATCTTTCATCTTCTGAAGTTGCTGGAGGCGCGTCTGGATCTCATTGATTCTGGTGGGGTCCCGTTGGTTCGCTGGGTTATAGAGCTCGGTGACCAGCTAGTTCTTTATTAGCTGTTGAGTTTCAAAGGTAGACATGGTGCGCATACAATATGGGCTTCTGAGATCGACTCCCTGGCCCCAAGGCCCTCGTCAGATACCCAGGTTGCCATTTTTCCTTAGCAAGCGCGTGGTTGTGAAAAAGAAAAAGAGAAGTGTACATATACAAAGCACGGGAGCTATGACGGGCAGAATCTAGTGTTTGCATCTCTTGGCCAATCATCATCAAGGCGGTTGCATCAGCGGTAACTGCGGGGCTCATCTGGTTTGTATGCACGTGACCTCTATATTCTTAGCTACATATATATGTTAGAACTAAGAAGTCTAGCAGACTGTACATTATAATACATACTGTACTCTCGGAGGAGTCGATTTATAGGAACTTTTGTCTCTCTATTGAACTCCTTTACTTGCTTTTTCCTACGTGGGATATATATTCTGACCTTCTCACTGCTGAATATATTGATAGCATCATATATCTCAAGGTATCAAGCTTGACCTAGCCCGTACAAAGAATTAGTATAACACCATTGTCGATGGCACTCAAGCTGGATCAACCTCTAAAAAACAAGAAGAACATTGAAACGAGCAATGTGATTGTATACAAATGTGTAGATACTTGAGTGCAAACATGACAACACCAAGTGGGCCGTGTGTAGCCGACTCCGGAGATCGCCCTACGGCCAAAAGTCTCCCCACCGGTAAAAGGCCACTTACACGGAGTCCACACGACCTGCGGAATTAGCTTATCGCGTACTTATCTGACGCCTTCAATCTCTGCTTCGCTTAGCCTTCGAAAGCTAACAGGTGGATGAGTAACCTCTTGAAGTCCGCCAGTGTCCATGCTCCTCTCCCGTCCAGTTTGCCTTCGGACATCTTTGCGATCGCTAAGGCCCGTCTCCCGTCCAAGACACTTCTCCGTTTTCGGTCCGCGATACACAGTCAATATGGGGCCCGTAGATACCTCTGAACGCCTGTCAAGGCTAAGGCAGTTGATGCAACAGCATAAGGTCGATGTTTACAGTATGACATCATCTCTCTGCTCAAACCTCGAGTTGTGCTTACCAGCTTCGTATAGTTGTACCCTCAGAAGATAGCCACCAGTCCGAGTACATTGCGCCATGTGATGCCCGCCGAGGTCAACGATCGCCCCTCTTCCGCTGATTTGCCCGCGCCGACACTAACATTCTCACAGAATTCATTTCGGGATTCTCTGGCTCCGCCGGTACTGCAATCATCTCCCTGAGCAAAGCTGCACTGTCCACTGATGGACGGTACTTCAACCAGGCCGCGAAACAATTGGACAACAACTGGCAGCTCTTGAAGGGTGGAGTGGAGGGTGTGCCCACTTGGCAGGAATGGTACGAGACGAGAGTTATGCGGCATGATCTGTATGGGAGCTGATCTTGTTGGTAGGACCACGGAGGAAGCCCAAGGAGGCAAGGCTGTGGGTGTTGATCCATCTCTGATCACAGCGTGTGAGTGCTGTTACTTTGGCGTGGAAGTGCATAGCGCTAATCTTCAATAGCTGGTGCACGGAAGTTGGCAGAGACCCTTAAAAAGAGTGGTTCATCCCTCGTGGGCGTCCGGGAGAACTTGATCGACGTGATTTGGGGTAAGGAACGCCCCGCGCGTCCCAGCGAGAAAGTGCGCGTTCACCCTGAGAAGTATGCCGGCAAGCCGTTCCAAGAAAAGGTGGCCGAGCTGCGGAAGGAACTTGAGACAAAGAAGAAGGCCGGATTCATCATCTGTATGACCATCTCGCATATATCCCAGTCCTGCAGAGTGACTAATTTATTGCAGCTATGCTCGATGAGATTGCTTGGCTATTCAACCTGAGAGGAACCGAGTAAGAACAGTGTCTATACCGTGATGCATCTTGGCACTTCACTGACTCTGAACAGTATTCCCTACAATCCCGTGTTTTTCTCTTATGCTGTTATTACGCCCACCACCGCTGAGATCTACGTGGAGGATGACAAGTTGACGCCAGAGGTCAAGGCTCACTTCGGGCAAGACGTTATCGTCAAGCCATACGAATCCATCTTTGCTGATGCTCAAGCCCTCAGCACCAAAGGCAAGTCTGCGGGTGAGAAGGCCGCCAAGTTTTTGTTGTCGAACAAGGCTTCTTGGGCTCTCAGCCTCAGCCTTGGCGGCGAGGGACAGGTCGAAGAGACCCGTAGCCCGGTCGCGGATGCAAAGGCTGTGAAGAATGAAGTCGAACTCGAAGGAATGCGAGCTTGCCATATCCGCGATGGTGCTGCCCTGACCGAGTACTTTGCTTGGCTTGAAAATGAACTAGTCAACAAGAAGACTGTCTTGGACGAAGTCGACGGAGCTGACAAGTTGGAAGAAATCCGCTCCAAGCATGATCTGTTCGCTGGTCTCTCCTTCGATACTATCTCGTCGACTGGGCCCAACGGTGCGGTCATTCACTATAGCCCAGAGAAGGGAAGCTGTGCTATCATCGATCCTAATGCCATCTATCTCTGCGACTCTGGTTGTCAATACTTGGATGGAACGACCGACACTACGAGAACATTCCACTTCGGCGTTCCCACGGAGTTCGAGAAGCGTGCTTTCACGTTAGTGCTGAAGGGAACTATTGGAATCGATATGGCGGTATTCCCCAAAGGCACCAGTGGCTTTGCAATTGACGTGTTGGCGCGCCAACACTTGTGGAAAGAGGGCTTAGACTACCTTCACGGAACAGGCCATGGTGTTGGCTCCTATCTGGTGAGTATTATCGCTCATCAAACATCTTACACTTTGCTTATCTCCGTTTAGAATGTCCACGAGGGTCCCATTGGCATCGGAACTCGGGTTCAGTATACCGAGGTCCCCATTGCGGCCGGAAACGTTATTTCGGATGGTTTGTCTCTCCTCCCCGTAGGTTGCAGTCCGAAACTAATTCCTGATATAGAACCCGGATACTACGAGGATGGCAAATTTGGTATTCGAATCGAAAGTGAGTTGTACCGTCTGTGACTGTCATTGGAGAAATACTAATCCCGCTCTTTATAGACATTGTCATGGCTCGCGAAGTCAAAACTGCCCACAACTTTGGTGATAAGCAGTGGTTAGGCTTTGAGCATGTTACAATGACTCCTATTGGTCGCAACCTGATTGAGCCGTCGCTTTTGAGCGACGCCGAGCTTAAGTGGGTGAATGACTACCACGCTGAGATCTGGGCGAAGACAGAGCACTTCTTCCAGTCAGACGATCTGACACGCTCATGGCTCAAGCGTGAGACTCAGCCGATTTCCAAATAAGTGGTATGCAGCGTTGATGGGCCGTGGTTTGAAATAACCACGGAGTACTCCTGCTATTGATTAGAAGGGATTATGTAGAATACAGTAGTGTATACACCATTCCAGTGCTGTACCTAGACATGAATAATTAAGATTTAATCGAATATCAAATACCAAATAGATGCTAGCAAGGAACACAGCGACACAATGATATACTGCAAGTCTACAGTTTACATTGTCAACTTTCGGAGTTTCTTGGTAAACCGACAACTGGCCAGTGGAACGGAATGCGGGAAGCTCTGGTGGAGCCCGACCCGGCCTGTCTCAACACTATCACCACATTACCACTGAATTGCTTCCAGCGCTCCCTCTATTCCACACCCAAGAATGCTCGCAGCTCCCCGCCAATTGTCGCGCGCTAGTCACAAGACCTAAGACCGAACCTTTCTGGCCAACAGCCCCACGCCAGCCCCTTGTCACAGCCCACCAACGCTTCCATACCGAACCGGAACACCCCGTGATTGGGAGGTATCATTGGCGATGAGCGGCCAAAACGGTTATGGTAACGGGTATGGCTACTCCGGTCCCAACCAGTATGGCAACGATGGGGGATACAGTGGAAACAGCAATCCTGGGGGAAACGGATACGGTGGACTAGGTGCCGCACCACCACCAGGTGGTGGACATTCAGATCGTCGGCCCGGCGGATACGGTGGTTTCTACGCTGACACGCCTCAGCCGGCGGATCTATCGCCAGGCCAATCTCCTGCGCTGAGCCAGTCGCCTGATCGACGGCGCGATCGAACGAATCGACAACCCTCTCCGCAACCGTCTTCGAACCCCTCCCCGCGTCCCTCATCGCAATCTGCGAAAGCCTCCTCGCGGTCACGCACAAGAAATCAAGATCCCGACAGGAAGCACCGGGAAGAGCGGTCTAGAGATGCAAGTCGGAGAGATCAGAGAGATGGAAGGAGTCAAAGGGACCAAAGGGACCCGCGAGGCCAAATGGAACACAGGAGCCAGAGGAATGCGTCGCCTGTGGCCAAAGTGAGCAATGACTCCGGGGAAACCCAGGCCATTGAAAGTATGACTTTCTCTTTTGCTCAGCCTGGCCCAATAGCTAATCCGGTTACCTTCTACAGCGATTCTCCACTCTATCCAGCGCGACTGGGATTTCATGACCGATGCCGAGTGCGTCCCAGTACACGTCGCTTTGAGTCTGATGGACACGAGCACGTTGGGCAAAGCAGATCGTGAACCGGAATTTTTGCATATGTACAATGACATCCAGAAGACACTGAAGGCAATTGTCAATGGTAGGTCCTCTCTGCGGTGGTTAGGACATGTATATGCTAAAATTGCATGTCATAGAACACCATCAGGGATTCAACAGTTCTATTGGAACATACCACAAGATCCAATCCAATATAGCTTCCTCGCAAAATCGAGTACGCAGCCTGAGAAATGCCCTAGATCAGGCTAAATCCGGTTTAATATCGACCAAACCCGAGTTGAAAGGACTGGCAACGTCCTCTCAGAACTACGATGATATCGTACAGCTGTTCACTCAGATTGAGGAAATTCAATCCCTTCCCGAGAAATTGGAAACTCAGATTTCAGATAAGCGATTCCTTGCAGCTGTGGATGTGCTTCATACGGCTCTCCGAGTTCTACGGCGTTCGGAGCTTGAGGAAATAGGCGCTTTATCCGATATTCGCGCTTATTTCCTCAACCAGGAAACGTCGCTCACAGACATTCTGATCGAGGAGTTGCACGACCATCTATACCTTAAATCACCCTATTGCTCGGACCGATGGAAAGCTAACACAACTGATGGAAAAGATGTGCATACGTCTCATTTGGGTAGTCACTCCTGGGAACGGCCTGTGTATAGTTTCCTGGCTAAGTTCGATCCGTTGACGCCTATGGCCGAAGACGCCTCTCGAAACCCGGAGGCCGACACGTTCTCCTACATTCAGTTATTGATCGAAGCGCTGAACAAAATGGGACACCTTGACGTCGCGGTTCATAGAATTGAGCAGCGTCTTCCGGTCGAACTGTTTGCTGTAGTGGATAAGACGAACGGAGAGGTTGATACTCGCTATCCTGAGCCAACCAAGAGCTTCTCAGCCCAGGACAACTACAAACAGTCCAGCCTCCCCACGGAGATCATTGAAAAACGGGGCCACGTGCTTTCTGAGTTTTTGTGGGCATTATATGCCAAGTTTGAGGCAATTGTGGAAGGCCACCGAATTGTTCATGATGTTGTTGCCGCCATTGTGGATCGAGAAGGTCTAATCAAAAGCGAGGCGCTTTCTGGAGGATTTAAGGAGTTGTGGAAACTTCTACAAAGCGAGGTAAGACGGCAACAGCTTTGACTGACATTACGAATATTAATTTGTTTTGCCAGATACGATCTCTCATGCACGACTATCTCGCAACCGATGGGGACTCTTCTGTTCGATCTAGAACAGAGGAAAATGACTCTCGCCATCATCAATACACAGGCAACCGCGATAAGAATAAGGTAAGAAGAACAGTCATTCTCATTACTTTCAAGTAGCTTACCCTTTCCGTTATAGAAAATGTTCAAGTTGTCCGATATTGAGCATAACTCTGAGATGAAAGCCGAACAAGATGAATTGGATGAAATTCTCAAGTCCTCGGTCCCTGGACTTGTTTCCAAGTCAAGGCAAAAGGCCGCAACAAGTGATACTCCGCACCCTACTAATGGCAACTCAGGGACTGGGCATAAGATCTTGCTTGAACCAAGTGTCTTCAATATGGGAATTCTTCTTCCTCCCTCTCTATCCTTCATCCAGCGGCTCAAGGATATCGTCCCTGTTGATTCCGATATTTCCATGGGCACTTTGACCTCCTTTCTGGATGACTTCATGGTCAATGTCTTCCTGCCCCAGTTGGATGAAACTGTGACGGATCTCTGCACGCTTAGCTTCATTGGCGCAGATGCATTTACAGAAGACCCCCATTGGGCTAAGGCCTCCCCTCGGCCTATTTTCAAAGGAACGGTCAAATTCATGTCCATTGTTCGGGAATTTAGCAAAATGCTGTCCAGTATTCCACACGATCAAGCGTTTACGCAGCTTCTTATTGACCAGATCGTGACCTATTATGACAAGTGTTGTGGGTGGTACAAAGCAATGGTCACGAAAATCTCTGCACGGAACCGTGGAGGCGAAGTCCGACTGAAAGCTGCGGCTGCCTTTGCTGAGACGGGCGACATTCATGATGTCGTCGATGAACTGTGGAAAGGTGCGGGGGACAAGAAACAGACTCTGATTGATACGGAAATCGACCTTCTCCTCAAGCGAACGACGGAAGTGCCTTTGGAGCCTTACGACATCATATCCGACCCGAAAACCGTCATTTCCCTTTCGCTCTTGTACAACAGCATGCAATGGCTTGCAAGTCACCTCACGAGAATCCGACTTGTGGTTGAACATACCGCGGATTCCGAGTCATCCAGTTTGACTGCAACGGGCCGGCCGTCTCGCAGATGGACTCTGTTCGGGTCCATGAAGCCGAATCGTGATAGTATCAATAACCCGGTGCATTTGCCACTCAACCAAGAGACTGCTGTGGCCTTTGACGGGACGATCCACTCATTACACCGACTTGCGGATACTGCACTTCTTACGATGCATGTTGACATCCGCTGTGGCATCATTCACATGTTGACTAAAACAATGGCTGGGCCTAATCCTCCTAACCTGCGGAACTCTGAACCCGTCACTCCATCCCCAAACATAATAGACAACTGGTGGCACATTATCATGAATCAACCAACCGCTGCATCACCCACGATTCTCGCACTCAACAATGATCTCATCGCATTCGACACCAATATCTCGACGTATCTGGGATCCGTTGAGCGCTGGTTCATCACATCCGGCCTGGCACGGTTTATCGACCGGGTCTTTGTTGCCTGCACCCAGTATATCGGCGCCATGAATGAGAATGGAGCGCTGCGACTGCAGCTTGATGTGCTTGTTCTCCAACAGAACCTGAAGAACATCATCATCGATCCAGCTGGCGATTCGCCGGATTCGGCTACATATTTGCACGCGCAAGCTTCTCAAGAAATCGTCGCCCTACCTCGCAGCGCAAAGTTCCTGGACTGGTTCCTAGAAGGCGCAGAGAAGGCCTTGGACTACGCCAAGGAAGAGAAGGAGGCCTTTGCATCACAAGGCGCCAAAGCCTTGGCTTCTGGGAACGGCGAGCCATTTACATACGAGGAGCTGCGTGTTCTCGTCGACCTGTGCTTCTCTGAAATCCTCCGTGGTCCACGAGGGGCGGAGAATCGCGAGGAGTTTATGTCGGCGAAGAAGGCCAGTGCGGATGCGTTACTGAGGCTGAACGAGATTATGTGGGATGCTCGGTAGTCCTGTTTAGTTTTTTTTTCCGATTGGCTTTGGCAAATCCGCTAATAGCCTTAGAACAGAATCTCATTTTACCTTTACCCCAGTCATTTCCTCTTTTTTGCCCTCTTTAATTTAAACAACTTTCACTAGCCCTAACTCGGCCTAGTAAAATGGGTCAAGTACCCCTTCCAGCTTCTCCGGAGCATTTACACTGGCGGATGATACACGCCTCGTTTCATGTTTAGCGTGTAGTTCTTACTATGAAATGATCAAATTACTAGTTCGTCAAGCCACGGAGTACGGAGTATGAGGTCGCTTAGACTTATATCTGACCCATCCCATCCTTTTCTCCCCTTTCATACCTTCTTTCGCTCTCACTCCCAACTTACTGTCTGGAACAGTAATTCTCTCGAATCTGGCATTCTTTATCCAGACGTCCATTCTTTTAAAGTGCACCTGCACGTCCTGTCCTTTTTAAGAGTCAATCTGTGACTTCCATTCATTCATTCGGTCTTCAATACCTCGTCCTGCAAAACCCTTCATTCTTTACTTCCGTCTATATATCCAATGAAGTACCTTCAGCTGGCCTCTGTGGCCGCTCTTCTCAGCGCTGCTACTGTGTCTGCCGGCCCATTGCGCGCCCGCGAACATGACGGATTCTGCCCGAAGGGCTATACTATGAGCGTCTATTATAAGACCATCACTGTGGATACCTATTCCTCGGCGACCTCTGTGGAGACTACAGTTACCCCGACGGCTACTCCGGTTAGCGTCGAGTCTCAGTCCTCCGCTGATCCCACAGTGGCCTCGTCGTCTACTGCCGTTGCCGTGGTGTCTTCGACCCCCGTCGCAGTTGTCTCAGTCGAGACTACATCCTCGTCAGCCTCTGCTGCCGAGACCGCATTTATCCAGAAGGCAGCTTCCAAGACCGACTCAGTTGTGGCCACTGCATCAACTGAGACTGCCGCTGTCGTCCAGACCATTGCTGCTCCAGTCGTGAAGAGCATCGCCGCGCAGACCTCCACCACTCAAGCTGCCGTCGAAGCTACCAGCACTTCTACCTCTTCCATTATTTCCTCTTCCACTACCACTTCTTCCGCTACCACCTCTTCCACTACATCCTCCTCCACTACCTCCTCCGCTGCCTCCTCTTCCACCACCTCCTCTTCCGCCATCTCTGTATCTCTCGGTGCCTCCATTGCCGGCGAAGCTACCTTCTACGGCGGCAATGTCGGCGGCGGAACATGCTCGTTCTCCGGCTACACCCTCCCGAGCAACCTCTTCGGCACAGCCCTCTCCCTCCAGCGCTGGGATGACGCAGCCAACTGCGGCACCTGTGTATCCGTCACCGGCCCGAGTGGTAACTCCATCACCGCAATGGTAAGCCAAGCTCCCTCCCTTTCCATCCTAACCAACTAAATCTAACCCAAACCAGATCGTCGACCAATGCCCCGAATGCGAAAGCGACCACCTCGACCTCTTCCACGAAGCCTTCGCCGAGCTCGCAGATACATCCCTCGGCGTCATCGAGACGACCTGGTCATACGTGTCCTGCGACCTGGACGGACCTCTCCAGCTCAAGAACAAGGACGGCACCGGCCCGTACTGGTTCTCGATGCAGGTTGTTAATGCCAACGAGGCTGTGACTGCATTGGATGTTAGCACCGATGGCGGTAGTACGTGGCAGGGCACGACCCGCACGTACTACAACTTCTTCGAGTACGATGCTGGGTTCAGGACTAGCACTGTTGATGTGCGGGTTACTGGTGCTAGTGGCAACACTGTTATTGTTCAGGATGTCGCGGTTGTGTCTGGCACTTCGGTTACTGCTGCGTCGAACTTGTAGATTGGTTGAGCGCGGACCATTTTATATTTATTCTTTCTTCTGTTGATATTATTCAATGTGGTGGTTTGGCGAACGGATTCATTCCTGTGTTAGGGGTTATCCAAGTCTACTATAGCAATGTCGATCTACAAGGTCACTCTGTCTGAATCATATAGCTCATTTGCTCTATTCATAAATCCGTAGTTGGCTGGTTTAAAGACTCAGTGGTATACCTCATAACCCAAATAGGCCATGATACAACACGCTAACGAATCTGACCTCCGGCTGTGTATGCTGTCCGCAAAATCTCATATCTGACAGACGATTACTGTGTCTTCACTTCCTGATCGGCCTCGACGTTTTCGACATGAGGGTTCGAGTCCAGACTGTGGACTGTCCCGTCGGGGAAAGAAACACTGTAAACACCAAGACCGAGAATTAGCCCATCCCACTCTCGAAGAAGACCGATAGAGTGTTCTGGATAACTCACGCAAAGCCCTTGATCAACGAGTACTCGTGTCCAATTTTGCCGCCTTGCTCCTTGGCATGCTCCTTGACGCTAAAAGACATGTGTTAGCATCGTGTATCTTGTATCTCGAATACCAGCGTGAGATGCATACGCCTTGACCTCGTCGTCGGTTGCGTCTGGCTTGCACGTGATCTAAGAGGGTTAGCAAGATGTGGATGGCTGGGATGTGTTAGTTAGTGGCTCACAATATAGGAAGAAGGCATGTTGAGATAGTTAATAGAAATGTAGTGTAGTGGTGAGACTAGGAGAAAGTAGATTTAAGTAGAAGAGGAGGAGGTGGATCTCCGCGTTGACATCATAGAGGGGTAGTTCGACATCTAAGCTGATCAGGGCTGTGTTATCTCCGCACATGACCTTGGTGGCTGATTATCTGATAGTATTGGCTGTTGATGTTTGAAGCTAAACTTCAATGACGCCTTATGAGATATTCATAGAACTTGTTGCTCTTGTTTTGGGCACCTGCAGTCGCTAATGATGCAACCCCACCGAGGGACAACACATCTTCCCAAATTATCAGTTGTCCTATCGCATTCATGAAAGCGTCTTTCCTAATAGAACATCACTGTCGAGACAAGGGATAACACGAAGGAGATAGAGTCCTGAAACCTGGGGTGCCGTGCTCATACTTACTTGGGGTAATTCTAAGCATAAGGAAACAAACATGCTGTTGGCAATACTAAGAACGCCCCTCCTGATGGACATGCATGTATAGGTAGTATTGCGCCTGGAAGCGGAGCCCCCCGATTTCGGTGTTTCGACTAGCAGACGCAAAGCAAAGCCCCGAAATATGGAGTTCAGAGACTAGCCAATACATTATCCTATAGGTTGTGCATTGAACGTAGCCAATCTGTGCGACGCTTTAACCGTACAGAGCCGTACAGGGACGGGTGAGACTCGGGCTCGGGACCTCCCGAGGTCAGGGCCACCTCAGCCCCAGATAGGAAGGTATCCCAATCTACTGGTTAGACAAATATGGCACAACTTCTACAAGGAAAGAGATTTAATAAAACAGTTTCGAAAAAAAAGGACTTATTCAACCCGCAGCTCCATCCCAAGGCAACCCATCCCAGCCGTAGATTCGCCAGCCCACAATCCATTAATGATGAAAGGGAAAAAAGAAGAAAGAACAAAGCCCGAGTAAGGTACAAAGACCGCAAATGTGTGAGCAGAGAATTATCAAAGGGGAAAGCAATAACAGAAGAGAAAATTGCGCAGACAAGTCGCAAGGGTAGTCAATGGGAAATGTAACACTCAGAATGAATGCCAGGGGAACGCATTTCGAGGAAACAGGAGGGGTAGTAATGAGAAGTTCATGGTGAGGTGAGATCGATTTGGAGGAAACATCCATGGTAGTAAGAGAAAAGATCTGTCAAAGCAGATTGGAAAAACAGAGAAATGAGGGTATGTTCAAATCCTGACCTCCGGAACGCAACAAGTCGTAGCACATGCAGAAGAATAAGGGTGAGAAGCCTAATCCATCTCAAGTGACTCTAGCTCTTTCGACTCCTCGTAATCATCAAATTCCAGGCCGGCATCCCGGCAACGTGTCAGCCACTTGTGAGCGATATTGTTGCGCCGAGCGAGCTCGCCCTTGAGCTTGGAGTTCGAAACGCTGATCTCAGCAATAGCATGATTAGCAGTCAGACTGTGCTTCTCAAATTGCTCGTCGATGTTCTTCTTTTCTTCCTGGAGCTGCAGGATGTATTCAATAGCACGTTGGAGGATCGCGCCCTTGTTCTTATCGCAGTTCGGCACAAGACGAGCAATTTGGTTGATCCCCTCATTGATAGCTTCGCGGCGGCGACGTTCAACTAAGGCATGGGTCAGCAATGCAAACAGGACCCGATCAGACGGGTTCTTGTTACCTTCTTTGTGGTTGTTCTTGCGAATTTGGTGCCATTCGGGAGAACCAACGGTAGGCTTCTGGTTCATACTCTGAGCCTCGCGCGCGGCATAGACCGCAGCAGCAGTCGAATTGTGGTTGTGACCACCACCCATGGGAGTCTGGTTCATATCATCGCCAAAGGACAACCCTTGGGTGAGGTTGCTCGCATCGAAGCCGGAATCGGGAGGAGGGGGGTACTTGTGTTGAGGGGTGTGTGCCGCTAGAGCGGCCTTAGCATTGGCAGTCAACGCGTTATCGTCAGACAAGCCGTTCTGCGGACCAACATGCTGAAGAATTTGTTGATCAATGTTGAGTTCGGCTCCGGTGTTGGGAAGCCCGTGGTCGTAGTTGCCGAGGCCTCCATGGCCGAAGTTGTGCTGGTTATCCATGCTGCCGTTGCTTCCGTGGGAAGAGCGGTTAAGTCGCTGCGAGTCAGCGCCTAGATCCTCGGAGCCGTCTCTCTTGCGCTTGTGCGAGCCATTATCCGGGCTGTTCATATTGGGATCAGACATGCTAAGCGCTAAAGCCGATCGTCCTATTAGTGGTAGTGGTTAGTGACCAGTAAGTGAAACAAATAAGTCTCGGAGAATGAGAAGAGCACAATATGACTGGAATGTCAATGCAGCCTGGGGTAAGTTGATGCCTGAGAGATCGAGTCGGGAAGATAGTGGGCACCCCGCGAAGTAAACAGACGCGTGAATCCGACGCGCTCGTAAGGCATCCCCGGGAGGCGTCGGACTCGGCCATCGCCAGTCTTGTTCTAGCGGGCGGCAGTGCATGGGGATAGTTCTACGAGGCAGTGACGTTTCAAGCGACCGCATATAATGCGATGCCTCGAGACATCCGCGGGGTTGCAGATATCAGGAGCGCGTCATGATGGCTTGCAGGCAGATGAGGTCACACAGGGGGCAGCATCGTGAAGGAGACCACTTGCGATAAACATCACGACGCGAGGTGCAATGACATGAGGAAATCCGGATGAAGATGGGGCATTGATGGAGCCGTACCTTGGGATGATCTCTCTTTATCACCTGACAGGAAGTCACCTGCCTGACAACAACAAGACGCAGGTCACGTTGTCTGCGAAACCCCGAATTCGAAATTGAGACGCGCGAAATTGGTAAAGATGAAAATTTGAAGAAGCCAATAGCAGGAGATGCAAAAGACTTAGCAATCTACCTTGCGGTAAATTTAGAAATAAGAAAGCGTGTTTCTTTAGGAAGATGTAGAGTAGCGGATAAGTTCAAGATGGATTGCTCACGTGGCAAGGAGGTGGTTCAAGAGGAGGAGTCGCGCTGAGTCCGGCGGGCCAGAACGACCGAGAGCGCAGTAAGTCACCTGATCGACCTATTCCAAAAGATCGACTGACGTAAGCATACCGCAGACCGCGAATGAGCCACCTGGGAGCCCTGAAGATCTAGACAATTTTGCAAACTCAGCCAAAACGAAACCGACAGCAGGAGCTGAAGATAACCAACTAAAATGCTTGGATTCCCCCGGGGGATTCTACGCCTCCATCGCTCAACGCAAGTCATGTGCAGCCGTCCCGTGCCCCTCTGCTGCACACCTCCTTTCTGGGTCTCTGATTGGCCGCCGGCTCTCGGAGGGGGATTCCCTAGATCACGTGTACGGGTATCTTCTAGGCCAATCACGGGCTATGTTCACCCACTAGGGGGGGGATCAGACCGTTGGATACAAAGAACTTCATGAACCCACATATTTGGCAAGTATAGCGGCGTAGTCTAGACTCACTAGAAGCCTACTAACTATATTCGATATACCCGGCATTGATCAGAAGCGACTGTCCCTCCTTGTTTCCCTGAAAAATGATTGGCTAGACCGGCTAGTGTATTGAATACTGCCTTCAACTGAATCAGGAATCACAACAGGGGAATATCCCGGGACGGTGGTGCAATGGGAAACAAAGTAGTGCATTATGTGGTGGGTGTGCTGGTCTAGATCGTGATATAACACGAGTTCTTCTACAATCTCAGCATACTTCGTTTTGAGTTATCGATTTACTTCTGATCCCTCATCGGGGTGGGGGAGAGGTGAATCACATGTTTCAGACTAAGCATCTTGAAATAGAATTCCCCAAGACCTTCACACCACCATATCTCCAAAGGGTTGCATCGGATATCCAAAAGGGCCTTCCCTAGTATCTTGCCTGCATATTGATGAACGTGAAGATCAAGTGATCATAAGACCTAAGAATTCCAGATGCGATATTAAGCTAAGTATTTGAGCTTTTCCTGAAGATTGTGGCGATCTCGATGATCTTCTTCCATATGTCATCACGTTTGAGTCCCCTATCACATGGATCACCTGCACATGAGCCTGTGGCAATCGGTGGAGTTCACATTGCAAGGAGGATCGCCATGAAACTGAGATATACACCGTTTAGTGTATATTCTGGGAGTGGGAGGTATGACAGAAACTCGGATGATCGAAATGCCATTTCCTAATGTCATGTCGCGAGCGCCCTCGATCTCTTCATAGACTCTGCAATATCTGGGGGTAGTCTGACGCGTCCAGTGCGCTCCTCACTCAGACGCCTATTTCAGTGCAAATACCATTTGCGGATCTGCCGTAGTATCCGCGAAACAAATACCTTCCTCCGCGGCGCCTAGCATGTCCCAGCAAAGTATCTTGACGTCGAATGGGATGCCCGCATCCTCTGTCTCACTTTCCTCATCGGGGGCGTGCGCACCTGACCCTGCATCAGCATTGACAGTGGGCCGTTGCGTCACAGCAATGATAGCGCTTGTCCCCGCATACCGCGCCGGTGGCTCCTCGCCCGACCGATTAGAAAAGACAATGACGATCTTCTTCGGAGAATCTGCCGCCTCTCCGCCGTCAATATCCACCTCATGTTCCATCCTTTTTTGTATCAGGGGCCAGAACCGCTGAAGCCAATAGTTGAACGTATCCATCTCGGGCTTATCCTTCAAGGCATCTAGCTCTTCCCGGCTCAGAGTGGTCAACCAGGCCATGGACAAAATGACAAGTTGGGACTTGGAGTCAAGAACTCGAGTTGCAAATTCCCATTTGGTAAATGGCGCCTCAAACTTGTACGGATTGATATCCATGCAGATACCAAACGAAGTCGCGATCTTTTTTTCTCGGATAGAACTTGCTCACCCTGGTGCAATGAAGATAACGCGCCCTTGGAACCGAATTCAAGCTCATGGAACCCTCGCTCAACTTGACCTTCAGCCGCCCATGTTTCGTCGGTGTAATACAAGAAGCTTTTTCGGTAGTTGAGAATGAACTCCCCGTTCTCGTCGACAACAAGGAGTGAGTTATAGTATGTGACTTTGTCGGGATTTTGAGAATCCTTTTCAATCTCTGGATACCCCACGCAAACCTTGCATCGCAAGCGTCTAGCAGTTTCACGCGCCCACGAGGCAGAGGGGCCATCACCAGCTGGCTCCAGATATGGCTTAATCGCTTCCAATGAAGGGAAGTTATAGCCTAGTTATTCGTTAGCCAGTGAAATTTTTACACAGGTTGAGTCAAATGCTAGAGACGGGGTTCATGCTGCTCAATGAGTTTGTTGGAGTACGTACCTGTCATCGCCAACTCAGGCAACACCAAGATATCAGGCTTCAACAGATCGACCCCGACCCCAAGCTCTTTTCCATCTAAAGCGACAGTCTTTCCAGTCTTTAATAAGGCATTTGCTTTCTCAATATTGCCTTTGAGGTCGCCTAGCTTCGGCGCGAATTGAAGGGTTGCAATCCTCATCTTGTGAGACGGTGAGGCTGAGAAGTTTCTGAATTTTAGAAGCGACACGCGTTGTGTAATCGGGAGTTTCTTAGTGAATCGTGAAAGAGATACGTCTGAACTCAATGGTATTCTTGACGTGGTCGAGGTATGAAGTTGGCGTCTTCTGGTCCCACCGCGGACACAGCGGGGCAGGTTTTTCGACAGAATTATGACGGGCGGGTCGGAATCCGTGGACTAGATCCAGATCCACTCGAGACAATTATTTATATATTGTGACTTCGAGTCCAAGTCAAGAGCAATTACTTCCGTGGTTGGTTGTAGTTTAGAAGGGAGGGCGACGTTTTGGGCCACGGGTCATGAAAATTGATGCCTTAGGGGTGATTATCTGGCCTCTCTAAATTCACCAGCACAAGCATTGTAATGTTCATAGATTTCAACTGAATGTTTCAATTTTAAGGTGGAGATGCATAGACTATGAAGAAACATTAAGAGCACACCAATGGCCTAGACACATAAATGCGCTACGATGTAGCCCCCAAGGCAATATCGATTCGGTTAGTAGTGTTCGGTCAGTAGTGCTCATACCTTGGGTCCAAGAGCCTATGGGCGTATTTATTTTCTTGATACACAGAGCATGCCTTCATTTAGCACCGCTCGCAATCGGGTAATGCCCATTTAACCATCCAGTCTGACATTAGCACCTCTTCAGCAGTCGGTCGTTCTTCTGGCCGGAATGATAGCATCCGGCGCATCAAATCTAGAAACGCAGCTTTCTCGTCTTCCTCAATCTCGCTTCCAACAAACTTCCGTCTCCATTTCTGTATACAGATCTCAAATCTTTCCTCAAGCGGAGGCCATTTGTTTCTCTTATAAGACTCCGTTGGACCTCCATAGTCATCGAAAAATCGGGGTCGTCCTTCCCAGCGCTGCCACCAATCCGATGGCATAGGTCCGAGTACATCAATATGTTGAGCCGTTACCTCATCCTCGTGTATATAATCGGCGCTAAATATAGACTTTATTCCCATAATCTCCCATATTGCGGTAGCAAGACTCCAGATATCCGAGGGATAAGCGAGCGGGATTTGCAATTCGAACTTGGCTTCTGGGGCCCGAAACGCGGCTGGCGTATTGCAGTCTTGCCCAAGGCGTATTTCCGAAGCAGGGGAAAACGCTTCACCAAAGTCGCTTAGAAGCGGGTGCGCGTCGGACAATGAGAATTTCTCCGCATATTTCCCCAGGAATAGTGGCGAAGTAGCCGTAGTCGGAACATTAGGGGGTAATGGCTCTCCATCACATCGTGTGATAGGGATCATCTCGGGTTCGCCATATTTCTCGTAGAATTGCTTGATAGAGAGCTTATCAAAACTTGACGGGAGCTTGACTAAAATGTTGCTTAAATGAATATCTAAATCAACAAACAATATTAGCTTACTAGTCTCCAAAATAGATGTTATCCTTATGACAAACCTCCATGGACATAGCCTTGTGAATGTGTATAAGCAACGGCCTGTGCGACTCGGTATGATAGTGCTCGAGCAACATCGAGGGGAAAAAAGACGGCTAAAGGCAGCATCTCTAAGGTTGCATTGCGCAGGGGGCACCGTGTAGCAGGTATGTTGTCCATTAGGACCTTGCACTTCGAATTCTTCTAAAAAAACAGGTACTAAACCATACCCGGAATGTACCGGCGAAGATGACAGAGCTTTGAGGACTTTGGCCTCGCGCGGAACCGATTGTGATATGTTGACCTTGAGAGCGACATATCGCTCCAGACGAGTATCTCGGGCAAGCCAAACCGTTGAATAGCCCCCAAAGCCAAGTTTATCTACAATATGATAACGGTCATGTAACACGTCGCCGATGATTATAGGATGATAACCCCCAGGCTGATATTTTTCAAGGTGCTCCACGTCCTCGATCCAGTTATACTCGGCGTGGTTGGCTGCCATTGTGGTGCCGGGCCACGCGGACACCGAGCTGAGCTTTCGACGCCAAAGGGATTGGCATACTGCAATTGAAGGTCGAGGCGAGACCAGTGTTTTTTGGATATTTAAAGGGTGCGTGAATATTTTCAAGCAGCGTGACATGGTATGTTGATTGTTTGGGGGAACATCCATGAAGCTCCCTGGGAAGGAAGGGGTGAATCGCGATTCAAACAAATCACGTGATGAATCGGCTTATTCTTCGGTATAGTATACGGCCTTGTTGTATCTTTTTAGTCTTTTTAGTCTTTTTAGTCTTTTGATGTGTTTTCAAGTATCTTCTCTTTCCCCGTGGATCTACAAAATAACACTTGATGCTTCGGCAAGTGGGCCAGCCATGGATGGAAGAGCATTATGACGTAAGGGAAGTTTAAATAACTAGACCCGATGAATTTGTACAGCCTGTCGATTTGCAAAGCATCAAGAATAACATATGTAAACAATTGATATCGATCCACTGAGAAACTAATGAAGATCGTTCATTGAACTTTGTACAGTGTGCAGCAGCCTCACATCTCGGGCGAGACGTGTACAATGACTTTGCCCGCACTGGAGCCCACCTTCAGATGCTGGTAGGCCTCAATTACCTGCTCAAATTCAAAGGTAGACTCGATAATCGTTGTTATGGTACCGTCAGCTAGCCACGTTGATAGCTGCTCGAAGTCCTCGTGTACATTCTTGGTGAGATATGAAACAAACTTACGCGGCGTGCCACCCAGTGCGACCGGCAACAGTAGGCCCTTGGCGATATTCTTGGCCGTGGATAGCGATGGGGAGCCCCCAACGCCAATGAAGTGACCCTCTGGTTTAAGAAACATAGGCGTCGTGGAGAAAAAGTCTTTCGGCGAGTTGCCAACATTGTCCACCACCAGGTCGTAGACTGGGCCCTCAGCTTGGAGTGTAGCCACGATATCGTCCTTGTGGTAGTCAAGTACTGTGTCGGCACCCAGTTTCTTGACCAGGAAGACTTTGGCGGTTGAGCAGGATGTCGTGACGTGACATCCAAGGGCCTTCGCAATTTGGATACCGAAAGTTCCCGTTCCTCCGGAGCCGCCGTTAATAAATACACGGTCACCGGCTTTGACATAGGGCTTGATGCACTGGTACGCCGTCAACCCCGTAGTGGGCAGCCCAGCAGCGCGATCGAGATCCACGCCCTTGGATAGCACGGCATATCCATCTCGTTGCAGCACCACGTATTGCGACAGGGAACCGTACGACTTAACGGGATCGACGCGGCCAAGGATGTTATCGCCGACCTTGACATCCGTCGATCCCTCAGCCACGGCTATGACAGTGCCGCTGAGGTCCATGCCTAGCACCTTGGGGAACTTGACGATGGCACGGGCGAGAAGTCCCGCCTCCATGACCTTGTAGTCTGCCGGGTTGACACAAGCGCTGATAACGCGGACGAGAATCTCGCCTTTCTTGAGGGTGGCTGCATTAGGGCGTGGGACGTTGTCCACGAGATTCAGCTTCTCCTCGATGGGACCAGGAGCGGCCTGCTGCCACGCCTTCATATTCTCTGCCATTGCGATTAATTGATTGAAGCTGTAGGGTGCTTAATTGCGATAAGGATGAGCTGAGAAGTAGCTGGACGAGGTGGCGTAGCCTGCCCAGGTGACGTAGAGTCGGGCCTTAGTCAGCGAATCCGTGGAGGATCCAAGAATCAAAGTTGTCCTTCTCGTAATTGCTACTACTAGCGGTACCGCGAGAGAGAAAAAAAAAGCAGAAGACCCCAAAATACCAATTACCACGAAAGTATCATATAGAAAAAGGTAGAAGGATGTAGCGGTAGAGAGCAAAACTATAGGAGAAAAAATAAAGTTAAACTTCCCGAGGCCATGCATAAAGTTGATTATAAAGCACTAATGACGTCTCCCCGGCATTCGGATATAGCATTCCCCTATAGCGTCTAAATATATATTTCGAGGAGATGCTGTCTAGTAAGCAGACACAGTAATATGAGATCAAAAAGTCTGCACCGAGACACCTGAAAACTCCGTGAGACAGTTTTAAAGAAAATTGTCAATGTCGTATATACATCGACTTACTGGCCCTGCATATTTGTAGATGCATACCGGACTAGTTTCGCCGCGCCTCCTCGTCACTAGCGCCTTCTATTTCAGCAGGGCTAAAGAAACTCACTAAAGTTGACGGTAATCTCAAACTTCCATGACCTTACTATTACGATATTCTGACATCTTGACTACTGTCAATCTCACTCTTTACAGGCCTTCACGGTGAGGCTCAAAGTTCATCGTAGGAAATATGGAACAACCTGGTGGAGATAATCATGTATTTGCATTATAGGCTAAAAACAGGAGGCCAGAGTATATGAAACCATCCATCCATCCAATGAACAATAGCGGCATAAACTATCCGACTCATAGAGCCGCGTACCTGAACTGTGTCAAATTCATGTTGATAAAGTAAGCCGACCATTAGTTCTTCGAATAATATCCGCTTGCTATGTCGAGCAATTCAACTTCTAGCAAATTTCTGGTTCCTGACACTGGCACCATAATTCTCAGAGTTCTGTCATGTGCTTTTATCCTCCAGTATCTGCTCTGGAACTGTTAGTACTTTCAAAAGATGGTACATATGTAACTATTGAGTTAAAGGCGGTCTAAAAATGGTAAGAGCTAGTCCCAATTAGCCTATAAAACCAGTAAAATCAGGCATCCGACTGTTGGCCGCTATACACCTTCGTACCTGAGAGCGGGGTAAACCAGTACATGATAGCTGCACATGTGGGAATTCAAAGCTGATCAGTAGAATTAAGGCACGGCTTCCAGCTTGCTAATTCCGTACACCAACCGCACTCAACAGGTTCAACACTTCATCATACCACATTGTCCTTTATTGACGACCGAGGGTTCTAATCTGGTCCTCGGTGTTTTGGATAGAGGCTGTGATATTGACCCCTTTGACAGCCACACACCCCTTTTCTCAATGGATCTTTCTCAACTTCCGGACATCACCAGCCTGCTTGTCAGGCCAGATAACCCTCCACGAAATGATCTCGAAGGAATGGACTACGCACGATGTGCAGCTCTACACAACTACCTGATCCAATATGCCTGGCTCGCTGAAGGCCGCCCACTGGCAACTCTGAATGCCAACGACAACTTTTTCACGACCTTCGGTGATGAAGCTGAAGCTGAAGCTTGTCGTCCAAGGCTTGATCCGTCACTGGCGGCGTTCCTTGACACCGCTATGATATCTCCTTTTCCCTTTGATAATCCTCACGAATACCTCCCGTTCTATGTTTTTGCATGGGGTATCGATGGGCCAAACAACCTTTTTGAGGAAGCTGAAGCTGATATGCATGACCAGCCGATTGACAGCCTGATGCGCTTGTACGCTGTCATATCGCATGTAGACGGTAGTGGCAGTGTTATCTACCACCAACGCTTCCATCGCGTCGCGATCTTCATGCATATTGATGCCTATGACTACGGGTTTCCAGTTGAGGATAATCGATACGTTTGGAACCCACTAGAGACACTGCTCACCCACTGGATCGACCTTATTCATCTTGGAAAAGTTGTGGCTTCGCCTAAGAAAGAGCCAGCCCTATTTGACTTTGAGAAAATCGGGCCCTGGGAGTGGCGGCCCTATAGCGAAGCCCAGGTTACTACGTGTGTCGCCGAGTGGGATCGGCTGTGTCAGGCCATTGAGGCGCGCATCTCGCAGCTGCCGAACCCACCATCACCGATCAGCCCCATTTCCGGGACTGATGCGGATAATCCAGAGCCACTGGTCGCATCAACTGTCCTGGACGCCGCTTCGGTGCCTGATCCCTCCTTTGCGCGTTTGTTTCTGACGCGCGCGAGACGGCCCTGGTTCCACTACATCGCTCCGGGCCTTCTCCTGCCCCGGGCTGACTCGGCTGGATTTGTGGCAGCGCAGCCATTCAGCGTATTACCCCGCTCTGAGTACACCGCACCACCAGTATGTCTTTTTCCCGCTGATACCGGAGACCAGCGTCCTATCCAGCTCACGAGAACAACAAGTCCATGGTTATTGTCGGACTTCTATTCAACGTGCACTAAAACGTGCACACCGTCTCGCGTCTCTGCAGGCCTGTATACTGAGGCAGTGGAGAGAAACGGTGATGAACCGACCGAGGAGGGATTTCGGCTGTTGCTCCCGTTCACCTTCAATGATGATTGGAGCAGGAAAGTAGGCGCACGAAAAAGCGATGGGCAGTTTGTTGATAGGGGACGCTTTTCAGAGCTCTTTCAGCATGGATTCAAGCCCTTTGGTGGTGACTACTACCGCCCCCAGCGGCTGGAGCGTTTGTTGGATTGTTGGCGCAAGCTGGTTGAAAAAGGCGTCTGGTCTATTGGGCCGGAAGGGGTAGAAGGTACTATCGATACTTTCAGAGATGCTGAATCGGACCGTTGGGAGGATTATTATATCCCTCCCACATGGTAGATATCCCAGTGCCATCCTGCCTTCAATCCGGAGACGATTTCCGAGCTCTATCCTGCGGAAATGGAGGTACCAGGGCCGAAGAGGGATGTGCAATTTCAAAAGAAACCAGTCACGAGGATAGCCATTTTCGTAAACGATTGTGATTTATTTACAAATTTAGTCTCGATCCTTCCATTTTCTTCATATCTTCCCAACCTAGCCAAAAGCCCGTCATATCAGATGATATATTTATAAACCCCCATAGCTTCCAAGGTTTCGTTCGTCATTGACATGGTTGATGCTGTCAAAGACCGTACACATACGGCGCGGGTGTCACTACGGTTCCCGATCTTGTCTGGAGCCCAGTCGTACTCGCAGGGAATGTGGGTCGGGACTCGCTGCCCGCCGGGACACCCGTCATGACAGTGACGGTGGTGGGATCAACAGTCACCTTGTCCGAATTGGAACTTTTAAGCGCCTCCCTAGTCCACAAGCCAGCATCTGGGTCGCCCATATATATTTCCACGACCTTACCATTCTCATCA